CGAGCCCCGCCGCAACTCGGCGGCGAAATTAGCAATTACTGAGGCGAAATCTTCCCAACCGCGCCATTATCTCGACTCCAGTCGTAACTTCTCTGCTAACTGTTATTGCCATCATTCCCGCTTGATTTAAACAAGACGTTACGCTACAGTCGCTGGCTCGTCACACCGACACACACCCAACAATAACACGGAGAAGGCATTCTTTAAAAAGAAAAAATATTACCTTTATAAATACGTAACTTTGCTCTATATTACTATAACTTTAATCTTTAATACTTGAAAAGGTCCACCTTTTTTTTTTTCGAGGGGGAAAAGAAAAGGTCTACCTATTGTCTAATAATTCCACAATAGACGTTTAGATTTCTTTTTACAAAATATAACGGAAACGTGTAACAAAAAATATGACTATGTGTACAAGTATAAGGTTTTAATATACAATTAGATTATTATATATTTCTGATAAATGTGTATATATACGAGCTACAGTAATGTTAAAACGTATTTACAAGTTAAGTCAATATTTTACTAAAAAAAATCTTGTGAAATACCGCATCCGATAAATTGTAGTTCGTACACCCGCAGCGGCGTCATGAAGATTTGCAATGGCTCGGGAGATAAGTAAGTTACATTGAATGACCAGGGAAACACCTTCACCAGACCTGCTGCCTTATCTTTGTTATACTCTCTTGTAATAAGCTCGCAAATGAAGTATTATTACACTAGCTTTCTTTACCATTGTACGTTGGAATGTCTCATAATCTTGATAATACTGTTAATTACTAAAGAATTTTAACAATTTTCAATTTAATTTCTAACTCAAAAATCAATTAACACTTATACCGACTGATAGTAAAAATTGATAACTAACAGCCGAATACTGAAACGGCATTTACAAATGACAACAACAAACTCCAAATTACTTCCAAATTTGGACTATCGGAATATAAACGGCGCTTACAAATCGAAGTATACGATTCGTTTCAATAATCCATTAGTCATTGGTAAGTATAGTTCGTTTACAATAACCAAATAAACGAAGACAATCCAACTGTTATGTGATACTGCAATAAAATTCTTAAATGTAATGAAACACGTAAATTCTAATAAGAGACGTCATTACAAAAGAACACGTGTTATAATTTCAAACATAAAAACGAAACAAACGGTAATATCGGAAAAAAGGTACGAAACAGTCTCTAGAACGTCTCCACTTTAAAACTATTACGGGAGCATTCCACCGAATCGAACGGCATTTGTCTCGGCTCCCCCCTATACCCCCTGGATTACTGCGATGGGGCTGAAGTGAGGAGGAGAGGAGAGGGTAGACATTTAGTCGTGACATTCTGAGTATTTATTCGCATAATAATAATTCCTCAGCGCGTCGACGGGGCACTGCCGTTAAGAGTTATGGCTTGGGGAGATACCTTGAAGGTGATGTTGCTGACGTTGGAAAACTATGGACATGCCGCAGGTACAAAAAAACAGTATCGATTACTATAATCAATTAATTGCTTTATTCGTGTGTGTTTTACTGATTTGTGGTGGAAGTTTTGCAACTGTAAATACATTTGTCTAACTAATAAAATATAAGCTGTTGTAATCAAGTACAAATTATAGATCACTTAGTGGGAATTATCAACTTTGCTAGCAGGGAGAAAAGTAAGTGTTTGTTGGTAATGTAAACGGTAACATTGATAACAATAAGATTTTAAATATAAAACTACTCTTCGTATCCCCATTAGTCTTACCTCCAACAATCTATCGGCGAGCGTCCACCGTTTCAAGATTAAGGCATTAGCCGGTACAAGCGGTGCCTTGCGGTACTGCCCCCAATATTGTACCAAAGACCAATACCGAACATTGATTATCTAGATGAGGTAACATTGGTGAAGTTACAGGAGTTATGACTATTGCTTGGGAGGCATAAAAGTTGCCTAAAATTTAAATAAAATTAGTCATATTTCCCTGGCATTGTGGATGTCTAATATAATTAGGCGATCCGATTCCCTTTTGCCTCTTACTATAAAAAAAATGTTAGACATTTCTAGTATTTTTACATCTTCGTACGTTTATCCTTCCGCGGTCTTTCCGCATTAAAATAATATGCCTTGATTGCGTCATCAAATACACAACAAACGCCTTGAGTCTTAAGATTAAGTTTGAAGAATTAACGTGTTCCCAACTGTCGACCCTGATTCTCTTGTTACACTATGAAGGGTTGAACCTACGGGATCTTGGCCTGATTTGTATGGATTTGTTTATTATACGATTGCAAAACATGACAAATTACATCTATCAGACGTAAATAAGGTCATTAGATAAATTAGTTTAATTTAAATGTAGAGAATAACTTACCGTAGCCTACTGTACAAGCCTACTGTAAAATTGACTGTAGTTTCTTAGATTTACGGTTTGAAAATCACAACATAGATTCTTTACTGAAAGGAATTAATATATTTTAGCATCTAATATATTGATAAAGTTAAAGGAATCATTGCATTAATCAAAAATCGTGCCGTCCAATTAATTAAAAAAAAGTCTAAGTTTTTTTTTAAATACTCGATTACATGTGAAAGGTATTTAAAAACATAAGCCGTAATACTACAGCATATATACATGGTGTTTTTATCATTGTAAGTCATATAGAATTCGATGTTAAGATAATTGCCGTTGAAAAAGAACGTCGCGACAAATCCTGACAGAGTGCAGTTCGAAGAAAAAATCTCCCTGTATATCCTTAGATATTGGCGTATGTTGACATATTTACGGCCTCCTCGACTATTAAGTGGTGATTTAGTGCAGGCATATCGGGATGGATACGTTTTTATCGGCGGCAATATATCCACTCGGCTCCTGGCTCTATTATGTGCCCCATTGTGAACCGAATCCTCAACTTACCCGAATCCTGACTTTACAATGTTTGCAATCTATATGACATATCGTTTACTACATTATGTACTAGCTTTTACCCCCGACTTCGTGCGCGATTACAAAAAAAAATTTATACAGCCTATTTGTTCTTCCAGACTATCCTCTACATCTATGCCAAATTTCATCGACGTCCGTTCAATAACTCTAACAAACATCCATACATCTAAACTTTAGCATGTATAACATTACATAGATATTATGATTGTGAAACGAGGTATTTAATTGATTGTATGTTTTTAATTTTTCGTCTGTGTAAAACCAACACTACTAATTGAACTGTCAAATAAAGGTTTACATTGGCTGACCGTAGGGGGCGTAACTGTCATCAGAATGTAACAAATGCAATTGTTTTAGATTTTCTGATTGCTTTTTACTTTTTACAGTTAATTAACTGTCACTATTTAGTAGCGTAATTGCATACTAAATTTAAAAACGGAAATTCGTTAATAATGTGTTGATTTTTATTTATATTATGAGGTGGCAAACGAACAAGCAGCCATCTGAATCCGCCAAAATGGCGAAGCGACCTCTGCCCGTTGCCTACCCCTTAATTGACGAAGGAGGAGATGCCCATAAAGAAAATGTTTCCCCTTCATATGCGTCTCCTCTGTAGAATCCACATTCCCGTCCCAACCTATTCTTATGAGAAAAAGGGTGGGAAGAAAAAGAGACTAAAAAATTGTTGGTAAATATATAAAATCGGAAAACACTTCAGATAAAAGAATAATTGACTACAAAACGTGATTTTCTTTCCATACTAATATTTCAAGACTCATTCAAGAAACAGAACTAATTAAATTCAAATTAATCGTTAAAAAAAATCGACGCACGTCAAATTGACCGTAAAATTCTGAGAAGAAAAACAATGGAGCAGCGACGATAACGGCGCGGATTTTAAATTAAATCGGAGGAGTTTCGACGAACCCTTCACTTGTGAACATACGGGAAAAAATTTCGTGATGAACTGGTATTGTTAAAAAAATAAATCATTATTTTATACAATTCCTTTATCAAACCGAATGCGCCATAAACATTTTTTGTAAAACATAAAAAAAACAGAAAAACACTTTGGTAGTCGACAAATTTCTAATTATCTACGATTGTTTACTTCCAGTATTTTTAAATACCACTTACAAGCCTCAATATAATAGGGAGTTAAATAAACTTACAAAGATTATGAATGCCTAATAAAAATGGTACATTTTCTCTGCTAAAAATGTACAAATTATGGTGCCGTATGTTCTCCAACAGAGGGTTAACTCTAAACTCCGGCCAAGGTATGAATATTTACGAAAGCATTAATTATTTTTTAACTTTCTTCGGGTTTTAAGAGGATTTTCTTAGCCCGAGCCAGTCTACGAGCACTGAATGACTGTGATTATTTTTAGTTAAGAAACTTTTCTCAAGTGTTTGGGCAATATATTTCTTCGAACAACACCGGAAATTTCTCTTTCACGCTTAATTAATCATTTTATATAACTACTTAAAGAAACACTTTTTAAACATGAATAGATTTCTTAATTTGTACTGAACTAGTAGATTTTAATGTATTACTTTGTATGTTTTTTTTTTTAATATGCCAAATGTATTTTGTAAACAGCGAAGAAATTCTTAGAACTTCGTAGCCGCGTAGCTTATAACGCTGGCCCAACGAAACCAGATTCAACAAATAAAATTTAATTTGCCTACTTTATTGTAACGAGAAAACACGACAAATTAGTTATAACAGCAGACAAATAATGCCCCGAGTTTGATACTACGTTCAAATCTAGCATACACATTAAGTATAATAGCTTAGGTTGCCTCCAAGTGACGACGAAAGAATATTGTGGATATGACTTGCAAATTTTATTTAAAAAGAAAAGAACAAAAAAATATATTTAGCTCTGTAGACATTTCTCTCAAACAAGATTCGTCAGGAATTATTACAAAAAGTACAAAAGATGGCATTTTAGACAAATAAGCCGAATTTTTATTCGGATTTAAACAGTTACTTAAACAAGGCGTATTAATATTTCCAACTCAACCAATTTTAATTTTTTATTTTAAAATAATCATTACGTCTGAGTTCGAAATAATTAAATTTGATCACATTAAAAAAAATGCAATATATTAAGGGTATATCCACTTGAAATCATCAGCATCTTCAGAAAGCACCAACAAATTCCCGGCTCATTTGTTTTTTATTCATCCACCGGCCGGCGGCCTGTAATCGAAAGTATAAATCGAGTTTAAATGCGCTTTGGAGCCCCCACGGCCGATAGCGCGCCCCCGTTAACTGGTAATAAGAAAATAAAGGTAACTTACATTTAACCCGCCTTATGAAATATCAGAGTTTGCAATGGCTACGCCGTGCCTTGTTGATTACCCAGTCTGTAAGAAATTATTAGATTTTTGTTTAATACACGTGATTGCAAACTGTGAATCACCCTAAGAGTGGGCGCACTTTGAGTAAATCGCACAATGATTGTCGATTGTTTCGCAGCCCATTCAACTGTTTAGTTGCACAACTAAAATTCGATTAGTCTGCACACCTCCATATAAGCTCATAGGAATCAATGTGCGACTAAACAGTTGTGCGATAGTTTAGTCAAAGGAGTGCGCTATAAAGATAGATGGTTATATGAACTACTAATAAAATATTGGTTAAGAAAAATTATTGTGCATTATCGTTTTCAGTCTTTAATTTTCTTTGGATAAATGCAATTTCATATATGGTATATAAACTGTATCTTTATAGGTTTTAACATAAAATTTAAATGCCACGCGTGTACGTTTGATATTGATTTGATTGGGGTCCAAATCCAGCCATTGGCGTGTGTTTTACGACGTGTGCGGTGACGAACGCGTCGGATCGTCGTATCACCACCGCGCAGCTGGACCCTCTAAGTTACTATCGTCACTTATTGTTTATTACTTAACCGTTCTATTCTGATAACCATAGAACTTATACAGGATGTTATTACCATTTTTAAATATTCATTACTAATGGAATAATCTAACTAATATTAAAATGCGAAAGTTTAGATGAATGGATGTTTGTTAGAGTTTGCACCCTAAAAGGCTAAACGGATTTCGATAAAATTTGTCATAGATGTAGAGGATAGTCTGGAAGAACACATAGGCTACTTGCTTTTGTTTTCTATTTAATTCCACGCGGATGGAGTGTCGGGCGAAAGCTAGTCAGCAGTAAGTTATTGCCTTATATTAGATATCATTTTAGCGATATCTATAACTGATATTATAAAGAAGTAATTTTTACATTTTTGTATGTATTGAAATAACTCAATAACTACTGGAACGATTTCAAAAATTCTTTCACCATTAAAAAGCTATATATGTTATTACTGAATAACAGCTACGCAGGTGAAGTCACGAGCAACAGGTAGTTGTTTTTAAATTTTATTTAGCCTAAAACAGTTAAAGAGCATAAAATACGGTAAACAAAGTTAGCAATATTTTAACTAGCTTTCGTCCGCGACTCCGTCCGCGTGGAATTAAAGAAAAAACAAAAGTAAGTAGCTTATGTGCTCTTCCATACAGTCCTCTACATGTATACCAAATTTCATCGAGATCCGTTCAGCCGTTTAGGCTACAAACTCTAACAAACATCCATCCATCTAAACTTTCGCATTTATAATTTAAGTATGAGTATGACTATTGTTAAGTAATTAAAACAGATACCGTAACAATATTCGCCTCGGCCTCTGACACCTAATTATTTAAATGTGGTCGTAAATAATTATTTTGAAAGTTGTAACCTAATGTTGTCGGCCATTATGTGAGCTAAGTGAGTCGTTAAGCGCGCCTAATTACAGCTAACGGACAGACAAATCGGATAAACATTGTTATTTATGATAATTATGAGTTAGCCTACTCGTTACTATGTCGGGATTATTTTTAAAACATTTAACAAGCTATTTTTTGTTGATTTTTTAAATATCATAGAGAAATAAGTTAGCGTCTATAGTAATGTACTTAATTTTTTAAACCTCATTTAACTTCAATAGCTACGAAAGATAAATCGCAATTTTATAACTACATTTTTAATTTAAGAATAATATTTTAAAAATTACATCATTATTACATGTGAAAGCATCGTATAATTCTATAGATAAAAATGAAATATTTTAAAGGCACACATTTTACCAGGACATTAAACACAAAATAGTGAGGCCGTCTCATTAACGCAAGTTTATTGTGAACCGATTGCCGAATCGCCGGCGTGCTGCAGCGCGGCCGTTTTATCGCCACGCGTCCGCGATATACGACGGAATTAAAAATGCATAAACATTTGACGCTTTACGATAATTACGCGCGCCGTGTTGCACTGGTCGGTTTATACTACTTAATGTTGAATATGGCTGACATTTATCAAAGATGTAGATGTTAAAACAAATAGACCGGACAAATAATTGTTATATCAAGTGTAATTTCAGAATTTATTTTGTTTTGATAGATTAGTCTTTTTATTCACTAGTAACTGAATGGTTAGAAATATGTTCAAAATATTTATTAACTAGTCATCTTACTGTATGATATCTTCTTTAAAAACGTGAATGAATAGACAGGACAAAAACAATATTTGCCGTACATGATCATAGTAAACATTATTTGTTAAAAACCTTGGTACACACATTTCTACATTAAACGAAACTCTATGTTTAAAACAATAAAAGCTATAATCATCGGAAATAAAAACACTTTCAAAGCAACAATTATTAATTATACATTACAGAGGAAAATGAGTCTTATTGCTACATTATAAGGTCGTAGGTGGGTGTCAGGATAAATTTGCTGGTGTGCAATAGTCCACGTCACTATCTCGACAGCTGCTTGTCCGTCATGTTCTTTTTTCAAAATCTGTCCCGGCCGAGAGGGACGTTCAGATTAGTGCGGAAATGTTTTTTATGTCTCTTACTGCTCTTTCCTGTTTGTTCAGCGATAAATATTGTAAGAGAAAAAGAATGCTTTTACAGTAAACCGTAAATAAAATGTAGAAAATTAAGATGGAATTAATAAAATTTGTAATGATTTAAGTGTTTGAATTTCAATTGTTTTGCAATTTTAAAAATAGAATGCATACAGATTTAAAAAAATCATTTAAGCGTATTCCAATAGGATAGCGCAATAAAAAGCGAAAAAAGCTGCGGGTGAGGTAAGGGGTGACGGGGGGATCGCGTTAATTCTAATTACCGATAATTATCGTAACATTTGCAACGGGATGCAGTTTTAATTCGGCCATTCCGTGTCGCCGGTGTACCCGTACCTAACGAGCGTAACCGATGGCTTTTTGATAATGCCATTAATGGTAACGCCGCATAAGCTTTTGTTTGTTAAGAAATTAACCGATACAGAAAAATGTTCTCGGTTTAGGATAAATTAAAAATGTTTAAAATATTAGCTAGTAGAATGGTTTTCTATTTGAAATTTAAACCAAGACACAATTTGACTTACAAAATTTTAGCTACTAACTTTCAGTTTTATTTAAGCAATTGAACTGTACAGTTTAATTGACAGTTACAATTCGACTTTATACATTTAACCGTGCAGATCGACTGTACAGTTAAAACTGAAGATGTGTAACGGACTTTAGTTATAACAGTTTCAATTAAAAATACGGTATTTATTTATATTTTAATTATTCCGCGCTTTAAGAACCGAAAGTTCTCTTTTCGACCTTCATTAATTGCTAAATAACTCACAAATGTATATAAACGATAATTGTGTTTACAGTAAGACCATTTGGTACAAAATCTGCAGTAACAGTTCGTCAGTGTTTGTGAAAATCAAGTCCGCTTGTGACGATACATTTTGTCCGCACGCTTGTCGCGCGATATCGGAGCAGTAAAGTGCGTCCCATACGGCAACGCCGCACTAACTCCCGCACGTGTGGTCACCGGACAATCGTATATACTATAGAGATGTTACAACCATATTAAAATTGAATAAAAAAGTTGTGACATTTAAACAAGGATTAAGCTGATTTTCGATACACAATAGATACACAAAATTTAAATTAACTAGCTAATTTATTATTTTTGCATCTGGCGTAAACAAATTTCTTATGTCGGAATTTATTAATACGCACTTCTTGTGAATCTAAACAATTTTGAATTTTAATTAATAAAATTATTTTTTTTATTCAGTTTTGAAATTACAACTCTATAGATATGTAAACAAACCGAGCAATTAAAACAAGGCAAGTGGACGTCGGCCATCTTAAATTTGCGATCGTACTGCCAATATCTGCACGTGCACCTGTTTCTATGTGAGTGTGCATTACATATGAATTTAAATCTCAAAACACGAATGGTTTTGTTCACAAATACTGTTGTTTTAATATTTTTCATATTTAGTTTCACCACTATCTTATAGATTTAGGACAAATATGCTCAACCTATGAAATATACTAGCTGTAGCTCGAGACTTCGTTCTCTTAAAATAATATGTTACTCACAGATAAATTACCTTTCTAACGGTGTAAGAATTTTTAAAATCGGCTGAGTAGTTTTTGAGTTATTTCAATACACACAATTTTTGTATTTTACAAATCTTTCCTCTAAAATATGTGTTAAATGTTTAATTTTTTCTTTTCTTAATACCGGGCATTAGTGCATATTTATCAATCAAATTTACGTGAATTAAAAACTATTTTTGTAGTCAAATATATAACAAAACAAATGGAATAAAATCTAACTATGTAGATATCACAAAGTACCATTTTTCATAGTTAAAATCGAATATAATTATCATTCACAAGCTAATAATAACTAATGAATCGGTAATGATGCAAATATCGGAATTAAAATTAACAATAAAACGGTGATTAATTCAAAAAGCGTCATACATTGCGGCGTATCGCCTATTCGTAATAATTAAATAGGAGCATTAAATTAGAATAGTGGCAATGAATATTTATCATCGACGGAGTCAATAATATCGCAATAGCATCGATAACGACTGCATTATGTATGATTTAGCATGACACCTTTGACTAAACTGTCGCACAACTTTTTAGTCTCACTTATTCCTATCAGCTTATATTGAGGTGCGCACATTACTCGATTTTAAGTTTTAAGACAGTTGACTGCGAAACAATCGACAATCGGACAACAGTTGTGCGATTTAGTCAAGTTTGCAAGTTTTTAGATCCAACTATCTGGAGTTTATTGAACATTTGTTACCTCAATGCAGTTTAAGATTCAATAACCTTAACCAATTTTAATTAGAACCCTATTATTTGGACAACTATAAAAGATGCTTCTGTTCAATAAGTTTGCTATCACAACCGTTAGGCCATCAGTTTTAAATGCTGATGAAAAAAAAATGTACAATCACGGAAATCTACTGTGTTCCACTAAGAGAAAACTGATTTGTTCTTTGCAAAAAAAGAAACTGCGTCTCTTCTTATAAAAACAAATACGTTTTTAGTAGGTACCATTATTACTGATCGACCTTTTTTCTTACAGACACATTTAAAAGCTGTCATCAATTGGTTATTCCGCTATCAAAGTGTACAAAACGTTCAAACGACTATATCTTTAAGGCGGAATACCAAATTCCTTGATTGTACATATATAAATTTATGAAATTACCATAGATAGATACACAAAATTCAATTCTAAAATGTTTCAGCTAAACCATAAAACAGTATAATTATGTTTTGAATTCAACGCTGTGTGGAATTATAGTTTGATGTTCAAAATAAACGGGCGTTATAAACGCGACTAGGCCATAAAACTAGGGATTTCAAAAAGTGGCGCATAGAGGGATATAAATCAGTCGGCGAACTGATTACGGTCGCGACAGCCGGCACATCATAATGGCCGCGTAATGAGAGCCACCCAATTGCCCCGTTTTGATTTAATGTAACAACGACAATCAATACAATGCCTAAACACTCGCAGTTGTATTATGATCAAAAATTGGCATTTTGAATGTTTCGTTTTTGTTATCCGACGTCACTTATTAAGCTGCCAGCAACAACTGCTTGAAGGTAACCATGTATTGTGGTCCTTTATCTTTATAACAAATACATGAATTAGAAAGCAGCAATATTAAGGATGTATGACTTTGTAAAAAAATTAGGCAAAAAGCCAATAGTATGTCGGGATAAGAACACTCACCGCCAACTCCGAGACCGGACTTAAACAATAACAACATCCTGGAAGCACTTAAAGAAAACCGAAAACGCGTCCAACAATCCGTAACACAGTAAACCAATAAAGCACTGTTATAAATAAAAATAACTGCCCCAGTTATAAATAAACGGCAGCCGAGTAAAGTATATCACTAGACTCAGGGTGGCTTGTCACACCGTCTGAGTTATGGCGTCACACAACATAAAATATACAACAAAAACTGTTGTTCTTCCAACAGTTTTGCCCCATATTAAGAATGAGCGTAAACATAACGGGAATTTGGAATAAAGTCACTATGGATCACGGAGTCGCTATTGCTACTAATTTTATTTCTTCCATTCAATTAAACCCTTTTAGTATCGGATTCGTTTACAACAAGGATAAGCCAAGATTATATCCTCCAAGTTCATCTTATTCTCTAGAGACTCTAAAAATGTACAATCGATATATAAATTACTACGAGTAAGGCCAAAATGATAGTAGCTGCCACTTTAATAGATCATCGGCTAGCGACGCCCGTGGCGTTATTAAATTCATTCAGATATTCAAGTTAAATCAGTGTCAATTAAACGTTTCATTAATCTTTCGCCGTGTATACCTTCTGACAAATCCATGTAGCTTCAAAGTGACAGAAATGTAGAAATAAAGACCTTACTTTCACAAAGACATTCATTTAAGCGTCTCCACGTATTCGCTGTGCTAAAACCTTCGCCCGATTCAAGCCCAGTTCGCGCTGTAATTCGTTATTTTTATTGTTTTTTGTTATTATCATTGTGCCCCCGGATTACACTATATGATACACGGGCCGGCGCTGGATGCGTTTAATTGCCTCGGACGGTTTAGAGTGCAACATAAATTATAAGATTAAGGTAAGAGCAGTCAGCCTGAATGTTTATGAAGCCTCGTAACTCTTGCCAGCTTGTGGAAGGAAATTGTTTTTACATATTCCTTATACTCGTAATTTAGTATTCAATAATATGTTTTTATTGTTTATTAAATTTAATAGACAAGTGAATAGACTTTACTCTAATACTTAAGTAAAATTTAATTAAGACAAATCTTTTGCTAGAAATTTTGTTAGATATATGCAGATACCTTTTTTATAATTTTTGCAGTTAATCGCATCTACGTAACACTCATTAATGTTACTGCAAGAATGTTACATTTATATCAAAAGTGAGGGGACTGAAGTTTGTTGTTGCTGTGTTGTAACATCGGTGAGGCTTGTTCAACAACAAAAAGTTAATCCTAACAATATGCGAGTGTCGGCACGGATTCAAACGGTGCCCCGCTACCCGCTACCCCCGATACCTCAACCCCGCTACCCCGCAACCCGCTACCCGCACGCCCTCTGTAATGTGAGCCATCTAATTAGCAACTTCTGCACATTCGCCCGGATTAGTTACGTATCCTAATTAATTTTTGTTATGCATATTTTTTCATTAGTTTTACGTAAATGTAACCAATGTTTAGTGCAGTTTTTATACATTTAAATCTGCTCATTTATTCCTTGGCACATCACTAATCTCATGAATAGAATGCAAATGTAATGCAATAAAATAAATAAAACATTCCAGAAAGTATCAGAATGTAAATCAGCATATGTCAAATAACATGACATGACAAACCTTGACAGTCTTGCTTCCTTGATGTTGGCAGAAACTTATGGTCTCTTTCCCTCATTAGGATTTTTATCCAAAATATTTACCTCCTAAGTTTATTGGTGTAAAAATATATAGCCTAAAGCGTGACGTAAGTGTAGGGTTTTTTATTAAAAAATAAATTATTCCAAAATATGCTGTAATTGCCGACATCTTAGACAACAAAGAATTGTGTGTTTACGCTTTATTATAATAGTATAGATATAGATTGAGTAGTTTTCAAATCTTATTTAAAAATGTACCTATTCGGTTTATTTTACTCCAGATATGTTAGTTTGCAACACACAAGTTGCACAACATAACATATGGCAAATTATCAACGTAATATACACTCATCGGCTGTTGTGATGGCGACCGACGGCGACGCGTGTGTTTTAGTTCATCTGTATTTATTAACGCGCCGTTTCTATGAAATACTGATTTAATTAACAAGTTCAACTTACGCCGTTCAGTGTACGACTCAACACGCATACCGAAATTCCGAGTTGAGGAAATGTTATGTTTCCTAACTTCAATTGAATTTATTAATTGAAATACGGGCATGAGTGGAATGAATGAAATATTTAAGCGTCCTGGAAATCGATTTAATAAATTATTCGGTACAATATTATTCTAGTAGAAATGCAAGCGACGAATCTAAAAAATAATCTAACTTTATTTGACACTATTATAACATACTAGCTGTTCGCGACTTCGTCCCCGTAAAATTAAAAATATATCCTATGTTACTCACGGATAAATTACCTTTGTAACGGTGAAAGAATTTTTAAAAGCGGTCTAGTAGTTTTTGAGTTATTTCGATACATATTCGATACACACAGAGATACAAATCTTTCCTCTTTATAACATTAGTATAGAAGTAATAACAAGAAATTGATTAAACATATTTACACAGCTATCCAAAGATAATTCAAAACATTTTATCTCTAAGCAAAATAGAATTCTATGACTTTGTTCCCCGTTAATATGTTTACCTTGTAGCCAAACAAAACGTTCAATAGCCATCAATGGTGTTTATCCGATTACCCTCTATTTTTCTTTTCGCGCTAACTCATTAGTAAATTACATTCAAAACGGGACAAACACTTCTTGCGTGCAAACGAAGGAAAGAGATAGCCTTATATTATATAACATCTACAAGTCTTAAACAGTCTGTTACGAACGTTTGTTCCGACAAGTTATTATCTAATCCAAGTGTTAAAATGAGTGGTTTATTTGATGTTGACGACATTTTATCCGATCACGAAGAATGGCTGAAACTCGACGAAGAGTGGGGTAAACCAATAGACCTCGATACAGAAGATGAACAAGCTCCATTTCTCAAAACAATGTTCAGTACCTTAGACTTGAAGAGGACAACATTTGACTCGTCATTCCTCTTCAAAAAGGTCAGAAGAAAAATCGGCAGACAGTTATCAAAGCGATCGACAAATTCATACTTAGATTACAAAGACTTTTTAAATGATTTGCAGAATAATGCATCTCGAGAATCGACGAAGCAATTTTACTTTGTAAACGGACAGATAATGTCCGCGGTCTCGGTTGAAGAGATATGCGATAAAATTGACAATTATTTCAAATCTATTGAGAAGTTGACAGTGACGAGTACAATTAAGAAGACAAATGTACCTGAAGTGGTCAAATGCAGTATGTCAAGTGGAGATTTCTCTTTCGATGATACTGTGGTCGGCATTTCGAGTACAGAACGTGACAGCGATATAAACAGATTCATAGACCAGGCATTTAACGATTTTAATTCTTCAATCGCATCGATGGAAGAGGTTGATGATATGACGAGAGAATCTGTTACTACGTTAGTGAGAAAATTTAGTAGTGTTTTGAAGAGTCCTTCTGTTAACTGCAGTCCAAGGCGACGGCGGCAGTGCTGTGAGAAGTTCAGAGATTTAGCAGACTTCTGGAAGAAACGAACACTGGATCATAATTGATTTTATTTCTTTTATTTAAAAGGTACAATAGTTATATTATTAAAATCATTACAGAGTACTTTGTTTAGATTTAAACATGAATGGGATTTGCTATATATTGCAAGTGGCATACTTTTAAAATGATGGTACACTGTAATTGCCAAAGCTTCATAATAAACACTAACTATAATGACTAGGTTTTACATGACATCTGACCCATTTTTGTAAAGGAAACAAGACTCGCTAGTTTTTTTTTATATTTTACATTTTTGATGAGATTTATGTGGATTGTTTTTAAGTTATTAGGTTTTAATTAATTTGAGATTATAAATTTTACTTATAATATAGTTAATTCCCGTAATATTAGTACATAACTTTAAATAATTATAATTAACAGATGGATGTTAGTATTGATGATTATAAAATTAAATTTGTAATTAAACAAGAGGAGAATTTATTGTTAAAATGTGTTTGTAAATTAAATGAATAAATAAACTTTCATGTGTTGTTATTTCTTTCCTAAATAAGATAATAATAATTTAATATTTGATATAATTACTAGTTTTTAGCGGTGACTCTGTCCGCATGGAATTAAAAAAAAGAAACGCAAGTAACCTATGTTTTTTCCAGACTACGTTCTATGTCTATGCTAAATTTTATCCAAATCCATTCAGCAGTTTATGCTAACTCTCAAACATCCATCCATCTATCTAAACTTTCGTATTTATAATATTAGAATGATGGCAATAATATTGTACGTCAGAGTAATAAATAAATTTTATTTTAGAATAACATAAATCTCTAGTATAAGACTTCTTCTTTAATCTGCACTAAGACTCGCCCTAAGTGATCAATTCAAAACTCGACGTGCTTGAACAAGGTTTATTCTGTCTAGCCAACTTTTCTCTAATATATGACGGCCTTGTTCCTGGCATGGGCGTGTCTTACACCTATTAGTTAATTACCTGAAAAGCGCATTACAAATATAAATTCATAGTTCATTAGGCGGCACTGTAGGAGCAGGACACAGGCTAAGTTGCCCGCTAAATCACTGGCCATCGTCTGTACACCACGCAGAACATACGAGCTGTTATAACGCAAGAAATTAGAAACATAACATATAATATTTGTAACTATTTGGTATAGATGTACAGAATAGTCTGGAAGAACACATAGGCTATTCACTTTTTTTTATTCCACGCGGACGGAGTCGCGGGCAAAAGCTAGTCATACTAATATTATAAATGTGAACGTTTTGATGGATGGATTGATGTTTGTGACTTTGTAGCCTAAACTGCTGAACGGATCTGAATGAAATTTGGCATGGATGTAGAGGATAGTCTGGAAGAACACATAGGGTACTTGGTTTTGTTTTTTTTAATACCACTCGGACGGTGTCGCGGGCGAAAGCTAATTAAATATAATTTATAAATTACCTCTAAAAATAGAAAATAAGGCTTAAATCAATTGTAAAGATATAGACGTAATGTAATAAATTTTGTTACTTAAATGATAAATCTAATTTTGTAAACAATATATTACTAAAGATAGTGGCTAGTGAAATATAATACCGTATGTTCGCAAAATTTCGGCGCACTGACCGTAAGCAGAAACTTACTCCAGTTGCTCATGAGTTGGACACTTTGTCAATTTATGAGGCGGCATGAGACGGCACAGGCCCCCTACAGGCACATTTTGTTAATAGACTACTAAAATAACCGATACATACTTAATTTTGCTCTATTTAACGTTTAGCTATTAGTACAAGCTGTTACAATTAATATGTCAAGTAACAGAGCTTAAGAAATATTTATTCAGAAATAAATAAGTATAAAAGCATGTGATAACGTGATTTTTCAACTAAAAATGCTTTTGAAAAACTTCTGTCCCTAGGCACCAAGATAAGACATGAACGTGAATATCTAATAGTGGTAAATTGAAAATATATCGCTTAATCAATTCTAAGTCAATCTTACTAAGTGATAAAATACGAAGTTCAAATTCATATAAGCGTCAAATGTTTTAATGTAATTAGAGTATCAAACTTGTTCAATATAGTCTGTGTTGCTCAAAATCTCATATCACAGATGCCTGCGACCAATTAGTTGTCAACGAGGTGCATGTGATCAAACGGCGTGCGATGCGGTCAGCTCTCGCCGCGCGGTGTAAACTTGTGTCAATAGATGGCGCTGGTCGACGCGTAATAACCAAGTCAAGCCAATGCAATATGGTTACTAGCTCACTAAGTAATCTAGTTGAAGAACAAATTCCAAGATGTATTATTATTTTGAAGGTCTAAATAACATAAAAATAAAATGTAAAACACTCAAGCCATTAAGTCCTATTAATTTTTAAGTCACCTTCTTATATTTTCATTAAGGGTGTTATTTGTCATTTTTCTAATTAATAAAATTTACAAGATTGAGGATGAAAACTTGTCTCCGGCGATGT